TTCTACCGTTTTAAATTTCAAGCACATGAAGATATAGGGCATCTATATTTCCAAAAAACAAAAATCCCGAAAGAAAATAAAATATATAAAGGTTGTTAATAAACATGTTTGTAATATAACTTTTAGTATGTATTATGTAACTATTTAGTTTATATATAGTTAAAATTTTACACCCATTTTAGTCACTTACGTGAAAAAGTCCTGCCTATGCAACAATTCTTTATTTGTAACTTAAAAACACATTTAGTATTTGATAGTATTTATCGGTCTTCATCCTCATTATCTATACTATGTAAAATGAGTTGCAGGGAGAAACTTTTTCTTCATATTTTACCCCAAGTATTTCCATTTTTATTTTAGGGACAATTTTATCATTCAAACATCATTTTTCCTCTCTCATTCTTTCCTCTTTTTCTCTTTTTCTCACTTTCTTTCAAAATACTTTACCTTCATCATTACAGATTCTACTTTTTTCAATTTAATTTTCTCTCCCCCTAATAATGTCAAAAGTTATAATATAAAGAGTTTGAGTATATATAATTTTGTCTCTTTTGTTTCTATCAACCAATTAAAAAAATTATAACTTATATTTAATTATAATTAATAAGGAATTTAAAAAGTTTTGTAACCCTTTATTTTTTTTATAACTATGTAAAAAACGTTTTCTTACTCTTTGTCCCAACTTTTTTTCAAGAACTTGAGCATTCTTTATCGTTCGGAATGTTTTTAATTGTAAAGAAGACTTGATTACCTACGATATATAAGTAATTTATTCAAAAAGATTACAATACGACATACTTGTTTTTTTTGTCATTTTCTTTTTCAATGACTCAAATAATAAATCAAAACCAAAGTTTCCTTTTCTTTTATGTATCATTATGTTCAGTGAAAAAAAAGGATGAAATTTCTATGAATGTGTTTTTTTTTTAGAAAAAAATAATTCAAGTAATACAGGAACATGTGTTAAGTTATTTATTCTTGCTTGTTGTATTTTACTTATGGTAAATTTTCAACTAATCAGTTCTCAAAATTTTTTTTAATCGCATGAACCAAATCCGTGGGTGATGAGAATTATTGAGACGTTGATTTTATGAGATAAACCTAAAAAATATAAAAAAAAACTTAGTGAGGTAAATATTGAGAAATAGAAATAGCCCAATTATATTTAAGATTTTAACTATTTAATTAAATTTTATGTTTTTATACTTTAAAATAAAACTATGAAATTTCACATGCATCACACTGTTTCATACTAGTATCTTAAAATGATTTTCTAGAAATAAAAAAAAAAGTAAATAAAATTACAATGCTAAATTATTACCCATTAAAATTTATACCTAATTCTTATAAATTTTGAGTTAAATATATAATCTAAAATTTTGATACTTCAACGGAAACATGAGACTAAATGTATTTTTTAATTTAAATTTAATTTTTCTAAAAGGGTTAATCTAAATTAAGGTATGATAATTATTTAAATTTATAGCTTTGTTTTTTTTAGTTCAAAGACATGGAAATTTGAATCTCTAGTTTTTTATTTTTTATTTTTCATATAACGAGTTAAAAGGTGGGTTGTGTAGTCATCTCAAAAGTTAAAAGTTGCGCGTGCATCGTCAAAGTTTTGAACGGTCGTGATGATGGGAAGGCCCGGATCCCATTAATTCATTCTTTTTCTAGAAAGAATTAATGTGAAGAAAGGCAAAGACGATGGGTGGGGGAATTTATGAGGAAGCGCAATGAATGTGAATGGCCCTTAATAATAATAAATTCACAGGCATTCAATTTAGTCAAGTAGAGTACATAGTACGTCAACCTATTCACATACATTAACTCCCTCGCTAAGCCATCACCAATGAAGATGCAATTAGAGCTTCCTCTTCTCTCTTATTATTTAGGTTAAGAGAAAGAAATTAGATGATTTATTAAGAAAGAACAGAGCATCGAATTGAGCACATCTGTTGGAAATTGGAATCACACATCTTGAATGCATCAGTTTACACGCTCTTTAAGTTGGGAATTATATGAGGTTTTATAAATTGAAAACTTACAAATGTGAAAAGAAAGAGAAAAGGCCTTGTCATGGAGTACAAATTTGGAGCACCTCGCACATTTAGGTTTAAAAATTGTGAGGATGTTGATGTGGTGCCACCACCCACCCAAAAAAGAAAACGCCTTGTATAAATTAAACTATCAACCAATTCAACACATGTATTTCGTTTCATGGGGGAAACCAAATAATGTTAGTCATCACATCAACGCATTAAATTAGGTCATTTCGTTCTCATCTAAACTCCAAACGTCACCTCTGCCACATCCCAAACCAACCAAATTAACACATAGCAACGCTCCATGCCTCTGCTCACTGCTCTCGATCTGATACACTCTCTTATCTCATCCTTTTTATGCTATGTTTTGGTTTTCAATGGATCCGTATCTGCAACTCCAAAAACACTTGAAATTGAGAGAGAGAATTTTTAAGGGGGTTGGTTTTGGAAAGATGCATTGTAAGCTAATTAAGGGTTACTGGGAAATCAGAAGCTTTGTCAAAAAGAAGAAAATAAATAATTAAGGGAAACGATCCAAATGCGGTTGCCTGCCACTGTCCAATGTCCATCACCCACATGGGTACAGCTTCATAGTCATAAACAAGTGTTCAGTAAATGGTAATGGTATAGCCATTTGGAGGTTGGAGTTGGCTAAAATAATTAAGAACGCTGTGGACAATCAATCCTTCCTTTCCCAGGCAGAGTAGCTCCATCATTTTGGTGGATGTATTTGATTTGTTTGAGCGCAAAGATGTTTCTAGTGCTACAATAATCTGAATAAGTTAAAAACGAATTATCGGAGGTTGAATTGGCCTACTGCATGTGATCTCACATGCCCCCTCATTTTCATAAACTAATAACCCCAGCGGCAGCAATGAAATTGAAATGATCCTGTTTTTGTAGATTCCACCGACGACGACTGCAAGTCCACAAACATCAACGCCTCTGCTGGCAAGAGTGCCAATGGCATCTTTCCTTTCTTCTCTCTGCACATCAATCATCAGTGTATCTCAGTTAACAAAACTAACCCCCTTCCAAATTCCAAACCCGCCTGTGCCTTGCCTTATCCCAAACCCTTTATTTTTTTAAAAGAATAAAAAGGTGTGGGACGGGAAATGGGAATAATGCATTACTTTTTCAGACTACTGGCCGTTGCTAAGCACAATTGGTTTAATGATTCAGCATGTGCTACTCCTTGAATCCTGCGAATAGTTTCCAACCTTGGATCCCAATTTTGCCTTTCCTTTTCTATGGATCAAAAGTAGTGCAATTTTTTATGAAAAAAATAATAATAAATTTGCTCGCAATGTTTTGCCAAATTCCACAAATTAGGATTATATAAGTTCCTTGATCGATCTTTTTGATGGGGATCCTTAACGTTGATAATAAAAATAAAAACGACTTTTTCCAAGTGCGTGTGATGACAAACAGAAAGTGTACGGACAACTTGGAGTCTTAGTGTCTATCGTGTTGTTAATTGGTAGAACGATCATAAACCTGGTGTTGTGCACAAATGAAGTAAAGAAAGCAGAGAATTCGGCGAGGTAGTTATTTGGTAATAGTAGTAGGATAGAAATTGGGAAGCTTTCAAATCAAGTTTCCTGCATTGAGAAGCATGTAAAACATATGATTCTTCTCAAAAAAATAAAAAAAAGTAAAGCATATGATTGCTGGGGTATCTTTTACTTTGTTGCCACAAAAGAAATTTCCAAAGCATGCTCGCACATGCTCGTGTCTTCACAATTCTCTCCAGCACAGGGCCCTCTCCCGAAAAGAAGAGCTCAGAATAGACATGAAATTTGATCCACCATTATTCAACTTAAGGGGTTCGATTGCAAAAGATCACCCACCGTCATTATCATTTTAAAAAATAAAATAAAATTTTTGACGAACACCATCGTGAAGGGAGGCCACCATTACCAACAGGCAATACCCAATAACAAAAGGGAAGAGCACCCATACCATTTAGTACATAGGATAGTGGCAACTTCAATCATGGTCGCAGCCCGTGCGGCCTCTTCTTTCTTGTGGAGTGGATGAAGCTAGGGACCCAAGTAATTAAGCACTTACAACTACTAATTTGGCTCATAAACTATCGTCACAAGACTCGCAACCAGCGCTTCGGAAATATAGATGAGTGAAATATGATCATATAATATCAAAAGACAGATTAAACTACCAACACTTTGTAGTTGCAGCCTTTGATTATCCAATAATTTGAATGCTTTATCAGGTTGAAGAACATGGAATTGGATGTAAATTATTATAAATAATGCGTGTGCATGACGTCAAAGAGTGACGAGGTAATTAAATACTTGATTTGATCTCCATTTCCCCCATTTCCTTTCTGTGTGATTGGTTAATGTGCTGTATAGTGTATTGTGTCAGTATGCTCTCCCTCTGACTCACCGAATCTCGTGTGTGTATTTTTGTTGAATAGTAGAGATAATTCCACTGCCCACCAGATGTAAGTGTACTGTATGGTTGGTGGCTGGCGCTGCACAAATGTGAAAATTCCACTGCTTTCCTCTCAGCAGTGAATGAAGATGTAGCAGGCATTGCTTTAGGGTTGCAGTACACACATGAAGTGAAATCGGTTTTTGGATATTTTGCATAATCCTTGTTGCGTCCAATGCGTTTGATGATCTACATCAAATCCCCCACTCCGTTTCTTATTAAATTCAAAAACTTGACCTGCTGATGCCAAACCAATCGTCATTTCACACAACACATCGTCCAACAAACAAGATAAATCAGAGTGCAAAGCCAAACCTAAACCTAAAAGTAGACACATGGTTCCTTCCAACTTCCTGAATCTTGAGTTCCTCGACTAGACTACAATCATAATCACTGTTCTCTACTTCCTATACCATTACTCGTTAAGTCCTCACTTTTTTGGGGTAATCAATCATTCAAGCACTTCATTGAAAACTTGAAAGCAAAAGACAAGTTATGTTTGGCATCAGAAAGCGGTTAAGTTGGCATAAACCTGGAATAATCAAAACATAAGTTTAACGGAGCAAGGCGCAAGTCTGTCATCTGATGATAGTCAAGAACATCATAAACTGTGTTCATAAGCAACAAATACCAGACAAAGGAAAGATCACAAAAGCCAGCTAAGCCTTCTTCCATCAACTGACAGCCATTACCACCTGTTTGAAGATCCCAACAACAGTTCCACCAATAGGCAGCAGGGATGAGAATCAACTTTCGTACAACTGGCTTCCAGAATTCTATTTCCTAATAATGAACTTTCGCGAGCATTTTTCGGTACCTCAAAGGAAACTTGTAATTTTGTAGCTGGATTGTTTTATTTTACGGTCAGGTTGCAGCAGGAAAGTGAACACGATCACAAAATTCACTCTTCCACCACATTCACAAGTTCATATTCAATGAGTGAAAGATTGTTATCTTCTTTAACAGTAAAACTGGCAGGCTCAGTAACTTCAACTCGGCCCCACCTATCCACAGCAAGTCTCATTGATCCTTTAAACATGTCTATCTTAGCATTGCGCAGAATAATGGTAGCACCTTCTTTCATCATGTCCACTATACGGAAAAAAGCAAAGATATGCGAGAAATGAGTTTGGAACTTTAAAGGCATTAAATACGTCCACCCAAGTAAACAAATAAAACAGTGGCTACAAGTACAGATTCAAAATTAAAATATAATCTACTCTATGGTTTGCTTAATTGAACAGGATTAAGTCTTAGGGAACAGTTGGAACAAATAAGAAGGCCTAAAGTGCAGCTAGATGATCTCATGTACAAAAACAGGCTATAATTTTAGGCAAACTATAAAAGCATCCCAAATCATACAGGTACACATGTCAACAATAAGATTGTTCAATCTAATAAAAATTGTCCCATTCCAACACCTCCTGTTCCCATCTTTCCAACCATAAACCAACCTTTCTCAAAATTCCATTGTAGTCCACCTCTTTCATCAGCCCATGCTGAAGGGATAGTCTTTGCAACTTCAACAATTGACAACTTCTATTCAACTCTTTTCTTTCTTTTTAACGGTTTGGCAATAAGTAAGCAATCTGTCCCTCCTTTATTCCAAAAGGATCTCTCAAATAAACAATTCATTTAACTAATTCTAGGAAAACAATATGATTTTACTTTTGTAAATCAATGTCATTGCCTTATAAAATGAGTATAATAGAAAATGGAACTGTTAAATATATAATAAGAAAATCTTAAATGAATATAAATTAGGCATAAAAATAATACAAATAAGTAGATCTATAAGAGTACATATTGAGATACATTTTAAAAAATTAATTTATAGAACTCACTAACAATAAACAAATAATAATTGAAACAAGTGTTAATTTATGTACATCTGACAAACACAACAACCACGCGACTCCTATAAACAATTACTGTAAAACAAACCTTTAGAAATATATTCAGATTGCTGTAGACTTTCTTCAAATCCTTTATCAATATTAGCTAGTTATATAGGAACTAAAGACATATCTAGTCCACCCTACTACTGTAAATTTAGATAGGGCCTACAGTGGTTATAGGACATTGTATCAATAAAATTATACAACTTCGCACAAGTGATGCGTATCCTATCACTTCTTTTACATTATCTTTTAAATGGAAATATTATAAGCTAAAAACAGACTTTGAAGCATGCTTGAACCTGAAAACAACTTAAATGCTTAAGAATACCCAAAGTGTATTTAGTAAATGGTCCTTGCTATGACATTCGTTAGATTTTTAGAAAATGACAATGTTACCATGTCCAATGCTTCTTAGGGAGTGGTAACCAATGGGGGGTAAAATTCAGGCATAGTAAAGATGAAATATGAAATAGACCTGAATCTAAAAACTGTTCTCGTAATATATTTCTCCAAAGTGAACGATAAGACGATAACCATAACAAAATTTAATCCTAAAATAAAATTAGTTTAATTAATAATGAACACACATTAAATTAGTCGAAACTAAAACTTCATATAAGCAATTCATAGTATATTTAAATGCATTTAAACCAACTATTTAAATTACTGAAGGTAATTAATCAAGAGAAAAACAGTTCCTCCAAAATCAATAACCCAAAATTCCTGGTTTCAAGTAGGTCTCAGTAACTAGATGGTTATTTTAATATCAATGAAAATTAATTCTCATTCTCTTACTCCCTTGTTCAATTAATAGGTTGAAATCTTATGATCGTTAAAACATCTATGCCAACTTAAGAATACATCCAGTTAAAGAAAATAATTAACATACAGCATAGGGAACAACGGACACTTATGCATAATCAGATTCCAAATATAAAAATAAACAAATGTAATCAATAGATATAAGAAGCCGGTGGAAGGAACAACATTAACTACAGCTGGTGGCCTTATAGGAATAATTTCCCCCATAAGGTCAAAACCCGAATACAACAAATAAGGTTTTTTCAAAACTATTTTTCATAAGATTTAGTAAAGAGCTTACCCTTTCAAATGCATGGTCTTTGCCTTAATCCAGCATCTAGCATGAAATGAACTATTGTAGTGATTATCCGACTATTATTTATTACACTAACCCATATAATCGAAAAAGTAATGAACTTATGATTTCTTTAGCAGGTCATTTTTTATGGCTGATTTCTTGCAATCGGCTTTGACCTCTGTATATAACAGTGTTGTTACAATGTACTTTCTTGTACACGAAAAAGAAAGGTCCACGACTACTTTTAAGACAACAGAAAGATTCAAACCTTTATAAAATCTCTACTAGTAGGATGTTAATGCATCAACAACCTTTCACAGTGAAATAATTGAATATAAGAACCAGTGTAACGTCTAATTTTTAGTATTATGTACAGAATGTAACCATAAAGAATAAATTCGGCATGCTTCACACAAGACATAAAAGATAAACGGTGCTTTCTCAAATATTATTGAAATATACCTTGATCATTTCTGGCAGTAAATATGATCATTCCAGTCTCATCACCCACCAAGCATTCAGCAATTCGCATCTGACGGACTTGAGGACCATCAGGGCGACCCTTCTGTAATACCATCTTAGTATTCACAACCTTCACTGTAAGAGTATGCCCACTGGTGCCAGGCCGAAGTTGGTCAACCTTGGTAAATACCGGTTTCCTCAGTCCAGGTTTTGATTCTGCCATTTCCCAAAATACCTAATCATTCCAATTTACAGAGAATAACAAAATAGTTAGATGATATAATGAAGTTGTGAATCACAAAAGTGCCCACATTACTATGGTAAACCACCAAGGTGGATGCAGGCCTGGGATTGATTAAACATCCATGAAAAAAAACTTGATAGAATCATTAAATTTATCTATGCTGGCACAACAAGATGGCAAAGAGAAGTGCCAAATTGTCAACGTTAAGTTTTGACACAATGCTATAGGTTGCTCCATTATTCAATCTTCTAACTGTATATCTCAGAAATTAAATATAATATAGCAATTCCCTCAGTTGGTTATCATATGAACCAGGGGAGAAACTAGTATTGCTAACCAATGTATTACTGTTTCTCACACCCAAAAATTTAGCGTACAGGTTCCTCGAATAACATCATGTTCATTCTCTGCTTAATAACCTTCTAATTCTAAATCTTCTAAGTTTTCATCCCACCAACTAATAGACCTCAAACAGGAACTCCAATTAAAACACCATCAATCGCTTTCAGAGAATTTAAGCTATTAATCGCTTAAACTAAAATACTAATAGAGGATATGCATGGAATTTAAAGCTTTTCTTTCCCGAGACTTTTCATGGATCAAATGAACGATAACAAAGCTACTTGTGGCCCAATGTAGGAGTTAAATACGTTGCGGATGCCAAAAAATGTTTCGTGGCATGCTTAAACCTTAATGAAAAATGTAAATGGTTATAAATCATCCAACTTTACGCTCGACGAATGTTTCCGATCACGTTCTCTATATAAACTTTCACGCTTGAATGCGATAAATGGAAATCAACGAGAGACCATGCACGCAGCGAAAAGGTACCACAAACCGAAACCTAAATGCTGATTAAAAAAAATACAGTAATGAAGAGAAGTATAAAACATAAAAAGCAAAGGTACAAGAATAGCCGGAACTAAAAAATTAGGGTTTACAAATCACCTTTTACGAGTGGTAGAGGCGAAGACGAAAGGGGGAAAGGAGGCCGATCTGATTCTGAGAAAGAGAAACGTAGCCGTCAAACTCTAGCTTCGAGGAAAGAAATAAAGTTGCTATGAAACAACAACCGTCGATAATTAATCGCCAGAAGACTTTAATCCTGATCGACCACGTGTCTTCCCCTATAAATTTCTTCATCCACGATCCAACCCACCATCTAATGAGTAATGACCATGTAAGTTTTCTTCAAAAAGATAAAATAAAAAATATCTACGCCCCAAATCTTCCTTATTTTTTATTTTATTTTCTTTTAGATTCTCCTGAACATTGAACTAATAAAAAAAACATATATATATTTACGAAATATGTTTAACTATGCGGTAATTGTCACATGTTTGGTATTGAATTCGAATTTTTCCACCCACTTGTTATATTTTAAAAAATCCAATATTATATTACATTTGACATCATTTTGTAGTTATTTATAAATATATGACGAATATTTTTTATAATACAAATATGGGAACGAAGTTCTTTAGATTTTGTTATAGATTTAGTTAGTTTGTTGTCCACGTTTGAGTTTTAAATCACACGGTAGTTGGATGTTAATAAATTTTACAAGAGGGTATATCTATTTTGGTAATACTGAAATAATCAAATACTCACCAGACACGTTCGTAATATTTAAAAAATTTTGCAATTTCCCCCTCCCCAAACACCGTGGGCTATAGCCCAAACAACCCACACAAAGTCCAAATCTAGGCAATCGCTTGGGGCGGCATGCTGGCTTCAGGACCAGACCATGTTGACGAGTCGGTTGCATCGATCAACCCGCAGGAGACCCGGTCGCCGTAGGCCGAGCTCCACCCGAGAAAACTGATAAAACAATTCTGGTTAAAAATTAAGAATGCGTTTGAAATTGAGGGTAAATAAATTTAAAACGTTTCTAAACTTTCTCAAAATCAATTTTCTAATTTGATAAAAATATTATTAAGAAATGGAGTGACTTTTACCCGGACACCAAACACACCCTAAAACTGGATGGGATCTACATGCCAAGCGATTTTTCCCGGAGCTTATCTGCTTCTACGGAATCTTTCCGGTAGATCGATCATTACCCAGGTTTTCCCCATTCTACGAATTGTTTTTCGTTTCTTCCTCATATTTCTTTCGTTTCTTTTACTACTATAAGTGAAGGTAAACTTTCCCTTTCAATTATGTTTTCCATTCTGTTTAATCAGTGCAATCAATTTATGCCAACCCCACCTCACTTGCTCTAGTGATTTTTTTGTTAAAACGCCTTTAATTTGTTGAAAGCACTTTTTACTAGGCTTAAAATTTAAACTAAACACTATCAATTGCCTATGTCCATTCCAATCAAACGGCCCATTAATGCATGTCAAACACCCATAACATTGACGTTGTCTCTGTCATGCTGGGTTTTCTTTCAGGCAGCATGCCACAGTTCGTCCTGTTATTCAGACTTCTCCGTCGCTTGTGATCTTTGTTCAACACATTTCGACTTCAAGTCTCTAATGAGCCATCTACATCCAGGCTCCTAAAAGATTTACTTATAGTAAGGAAAAGGATCCTCTTTTTTCTGAACTCGTCCTTATTATCACTGCTGTATATTGAACTAAAACAACCATTTATGTTACACCCATGGATTACAACTGTGTAGATATCGATGACCTTCTTCTTCATAAGTCTAATGAATGAGTGATTTTCAACTGCAAAGTTGAGTTCGGTGCAACTGTATATCTATTTTTAGTTTGATCGTGTCTGTAACGAGATTCCTATCTTATGACTGTTACAATCTTTACATTTTCAGTCAACCGGATTAATGGATGATTTTTTTGCACTTTCAAAAAGAAACACGGAGAAAGATGTTGAGATGTGTGGGATTCTTGGCACCTTTCTATTAAGATTTCTCCGCTTACCATTGACCTATGATCTTCCATATGATATTGTCCACACAACTCACGTCAGCTCCGTGTATTTAATTATATTGAGTCGACTGTTTCATGTAATTTAGAAGCTCGTAACTTTATTCTCACCTGACGATTTTTAGGCCATTTGAGGTTCTTTGAATTGAGGTTCTTGGCACCATGAATTATGATTTAACTAGTCATTGCCTTGTTATTTAATAATGCAAAATTTCTGCCATTTCAAAATCTTGAATTCACATATATGCACAACAACTTCACATAAGAAAATGAGATGTCGTTAATTTGAATTTCCAAAATTACATTACGGAGATTTTACTGTGCTCAAATGTCATGGCACCACAGACACGGTAAGTGATTGTGTGGTAACATTATATCTTATTCTTCCCTTTTCTTTTGATATGCCTCTTGTTTTTCACGCTTTAATTTGTTTGTGGGATATGTCTGTTTGTAATCGTGTTTTATGAACATATATTTCCCCCCTCTCTGTTAAAAGCAGGAGAAATGAACCTTCTATATGACTACCCTTATCATACCAAAACAGGAATCGACTGCCAATTCTGTTAGATCACCGTGTCCCTGGACCTTTATTCCCTGATTTATTTAAAAGATTACCCTCTAATGTCTTACAGGCAGTACTTGCTTCTGACTGTATCCTGAATGACGACAGTGCCATGCTATAAAAGAGGAGGAAGTCCAGTTGGATGGATCCATGTATGCCGTCCAATTATTGTTAGCATCCAATTATAAGCTAATGGGAATATTGAGAGGAAAGCTCCAAATATTATTTGAAATTTGAATTGGCGAAAGCTTCCTTTTGAGTGGGTGTCGTTAAGATGAAAACTGTTGTTTTGTTTTTGCGTTTCTATCTTTTAGTGTTCATTATTTCTAGCAGCCGAGAGTGAATATTCTCTGAATTTCTTCCCCAAAAAATTAATGTAAGTATATGTATTTTTTAACCTCTAAAACTTTTTCTTTTTGTCCCTTGTGAAAAATAAATTACAGGCGCATCCTTCACAGAGCTGTTTCATTTCTTCAATAGATTGCACACCCACTGTCCATATCAGGTAACATGGTGGTTAATGCCTTCAATCGTTGTGAACACCCTAACTGCCATTGTCATTGATTCCTGAGTTGACGGTTGTTTGGTGAATGAAATTCAATTCCTCTCATTCAATAGCTTCGTTTTTTCTTTGGGTAGGTAATGGCGCCCCAGGGTTTTGTCATTGTGGTTGCTCCAACAGATGCATCAAGGTATTGAAGTGTGGGTTGGTGAATGAAATTCAATTCCTCTGTTTAACTTATAATTGAAATGGTGGAAGCTGTTTGTTCTGCTTTAGGAGCTTTGGAATATTTCGACTGAGTGATCCGGGTGGTGAAAAGGATGGTTTTCACCCTAACAGAGATCCGGAAGATGGTAGCCCCATTTACGAGCTCTGCTCTACTGTCTACCAAAATTCCAACTTGAGATTCGAAATCATTGACTTGCGTTGAAGCAATTAATACTATACAGCGCAGCAGTTATGGCGATGGTAATTACTAATTACTGAAAGGAAGTTGACACTTGGAGTATCAAATCACTCCGATAATATATTGAATTTGCCTCGTTAAATATTGAGAGCTGTGCATGTGTTTCTGAACTTAACCCCAAGGATTATCGAGACGAGACAACTTGTTTAATATATACAAGAAAAATTTCAAGCAGTCGCATACAAACGAATTGATTTTTATATAAAGGAAAAAACTCTGGGGATGGGTCTATAATGCCAAAATTCTGGATTGGGGTAGAAATATTTACAAAGTATAAATAAAAGGAAGAATTAAATAGATTGTTTGTGGTCAAAAAGGATGAACATTTTTGGTGAATCCGTTGGCATTGGTGAAGAAGCCTACGAGATCCTGGCGGTAGGGCAGATACGATCTCCGTCTATCCACTTCCTTCTTGGCTCTACTTGTTACGTAGAGTCTCTCGTGGGCAGAGGATAGCGTTTGCGGCCTTGCGTGCTTGGGTACCGGTTCTCCTTCAGAGGTGGAGCTCCTCCTAGTCCTGGTTTCGGTTTGAGGCTTGTGGGGCTGCTTGTTTTTACTGGATTTGGTGGTGCTGGGATTATTCAAGAAAACGAAGGCGTCCTTGCCATCGCTGCTGCTTCGTTGCATCATCAAGTCCCGGAATCTCCATAGCTTGGAGAAGCCTGTGGAGTTACTCTTGTTGCCCAGCTCCGGGGGCGCCGGAGACCACTCGCAGTAGGTGCCCTCCTCAACAGCTCCCTCCAATTCCGATTCCGACTCGGATTCGGATTCGCGGTTTTCCACGAAGACCTTCCTCAAGGGGGGGCGAAGCGATGGGGGCCTGTCCGTCGTCGTTTCGGAATCATCCGCAAAGAGGAGGTCTCGGTTGAATAGCGGGTACATGGGGCGGATCTGGCCGTTATAGAAGGCATCGTCGGCGCTAACCGGGGAGCCATCAGGATTGGCGCACGCAAAGGAGAACTCTTCATCTTCTTCCCGAGCATCGTGGAGCTGTAATTTCTCATGGAAAGCCAAGGATTCGAGGTCAGTTTCCATCTGCTTCGCTTGGTTCGGGTTGGCGATATCAAAAGAATCAGAGACGCCGGAGCTCGTGTTTGCGGAAGAACAAGGGAATGATATTAGCTGCTCACCGGCCTCCATCTTCTCCTCAATGGAAGTGGAATTGGAAATCGCGTGTGAATCTGAGGAACAGGGAGCAAACTATAACCGCGTGTGGCTTTGGCTTTGGCTTTGGCTTTGGCTTTGGGTTGGGTGTGGGTGGGTGAGAATTGATTTGGTTATTTAATAAGTTGGTTGCTTGGTGGAGACGATTACGAAGTTTCCAATTTTGAAACGAAAACTTCATCTTTTTGCTCTAGTCTTCGAGCCAGGGAGAGTGACCAAAACTCCCGTTTACTTTTTTATTTTTTTATTTTTAAGAAAATCCCCGTTTACAATTATGCCTTATAAACGAGTGAATGGTCTTTGTTTTGACTTTAAGAAACATCACAACTTGGGATTTTGTTGACTTGTTTCCTCCATCTCTCTCTCTCTCTCTCTTTTTTCTTTTTTTCTTTTTATCTTTCCTTCTTACTATTTAATTTATATTTATTCGAAAAGTTTATACCATCTTCTGTTTGCACCATGTAATCGTAATTTGCAATGCTAGTTTCCATTAAAAAAAAACTCAATCTTGGTGTCCTTTTAGCCTCACCTAGATTGTACTTTTTATTTTTTTGGGCAAACTCACTCAGCTATCAGAGAGGACACACCCTTCTCCTCTGTTTAATGCAGTACGAAATTATTTAATCCGAATAATTTACAAAAATAAAAAATGAAATATATCAAATAGGGCAAACACGAACTTGGATTATGTTTTTTTTTTCTTTTTTTCTTTTTCTTGTTTGGCGGCGGTTGAGAAATTGTATGGATGCTTCATGCTTCTTTGTTTCACACGTGAAACGTGACACACACACTTTAACCTGTAGCTGTGTAAGCTTGTGAAATTTATTTTATTGACTCGTTATATAATTCTAGAAGGGGAACGATTTCGTCACCGGGTGAGGACCTTCGCTTAGCTCACAAGCATGAAATGGTGGGTTCCATTTACTGTCATCAAGTCAAAGTCAAAAGATGCATTTGTGGGGTCAATGATTGAGGTGGAACCAATCATCATCGATGACGCTTAGGAAATGGATTTAGATTATTTTTTTAAAATAGTGATTTGGTTTGTATTGTATATGTATTTGCTTGCGGATTGCATGTCAAGGATTTGAACCTATCTATTATTTTCATTTTTTAAGCTTTATTTCTTCTTTAAAAATCACTGACCTTATCAAAACTGATGCCATTTATTTTAAATAAATCCTACGTAGTTTCGATGCCATTACCTTTTTTTATATTCGTAAAAGCTTACCAAACTAGCTTAATCACCTAATATATATCTAATGATTTGAGCGCCATTAGATCGCTTTTGCAATAAAAGGTAACTGTAGGAGGATTTTAAATGTATACAATTTAGTAGCTAAATAACAACAATTTAGTATTAATTGGCTGTATTGGCGAGATCCAATCGTCTGGAAGTCTGAGTATCGTATCGGTGGTGCTGCAACAGTCATCAACGGCAACAAGTGGCGTCATCGGATGAAGACTTCTGTTTTAGAATCGAGGCGATTGGCTGCGAAGCCTGATGCAAGCCTCCCGAGGCGGAATTCATATTTCAGGCTGTCGGAAATGATGTTGTACTAATCTCATTCTTCTTAAACTACATATCCTCGAACAAAAGATAACCAGGTTAAAATCTTCCATCCTTATATTGTTGAACTATAAAAAATAAAATAAGGTCACACCTTATTTATTATATAATTCAACAACTATGAAATACAATTTCCTAATTTAATTTCACGTCATGTTGGTTTTGTAATTATAGTGTTGGATTGTACTTTTTAGTACAACAACATGTGGAGCGAAGATTCAAACTCACCATATTTTAATTTGGTCGATATATATACCTAAACTGTTTTAGATATATTCCAATTTGCAGCTTTTTTTAGTACGACATGTGAGGATGAGTATTCGAACTCACAATGAAATATATGTCAATTATCGTTAAGCTGTGCTCGCTTTTGACATTTGAATTTGGATTATTAGTTTATGTTGTTATAATTTTTTAACAATGAGAGATTAGCTCTATCCTAAATTATTAATCTCACTGTATATAAAGACTAAAGAGATTATCTAGATGTCATTAAATTCGTATCTGTTTCATAATTTTCGACAAAGTTTTAACGATTCACCGGCACAGTTAAAAAAACAATACAAAGTAAGTAAACAAAAAAAAAAAACATCTAACCATCTGAGTCGTCAAAGTATTTGCTTTCTAAGGTTGCCTCGCTTTGCTCCTAAAATTTTGGTTTATGCTGAACGCATCCATTACCAAGACAACTAAGGGCGGACTTTTTTTGGAGAGTAGTTGATGAGATTTGACTTTCGAGCTAAAGGAATAAACAAGAGGAGGCCTTATCGAATCTCGACATCAGAAAGAAAAAGCTAATTCACAAGCGAAAGCAAAAGCAAAAGATCGAGGGCAAGAGAAAACCCAGCAAAGCAGGTTGACCCATGGCTGATGGTTTTGATGAAGTTACTCATGACTTGGAATCTCTGCTTTCCTCAGATGGGAGAGAATATGTCGTTCGCAGCAATGGTGATCAGGTAAGTTTTCCGTTCCTTTGCGCATGAGGGGGCCGACCGTCTGAGTTTGCTAGGGTTCAAGGTTTTGAGCTTCAACTGACCTAGGAATTTCAATTACCTTTCCATTATTTCATATTTCTCATTGGAAGATCTGCGCAATGAAAAAGAATAAAAAAGGTTGCACTCTCGTTTTCCTTCTTATGATTTTTCATATCAACAGGTCAACATAAGTAGCTTAACTGGGAAGATTGTGGGTTTGTATTTCTCCGCTTCGTGGTGTCCTCCATGTCGCCGTTTCACTCCAATCTTCGCGGAGATTTACGAAGAACTAGCACCCAAGGGTGAATTCGAAGTGGTGTTTGTTTCTTCTGATAGAGATGAGGAATCATTCAATGCGTATTTCTCCAAAATGCCCTGGCTATCTATTCCTTTCTTGGATCCAGAGACCCATAAACGACTTAAGACACTGTTTAAAGTTAGGGGAATTCCTCACCTCGTTGTTCTTGATGCCAACGGAATGGTTTCCACGGTTGATGGAGTGAGACTTATAAGGGAGTATGGAGTTGAAGCTTTTCCGTTTAGTGGTGAGAGGATAGATTTCCTCAAACAGAAAGAGGATGAGGCCAAGAGGAATCAAACAATAAGTTCCATATTGGTCTCCACCTCTCGCAATTACGTGCTTTCTAATGATGGAAATCAGGTAGGATTTTCCTTGCATTTTATTTGTCTTCTTGTATATGTGATATGTATTTGGGGTGAGAATTTCATTTGTTTGGCTGCAGATTCCTGTATCTGAGCTTGAAGGGAAAGTGGTCGGGCTTTATTTCTCAGTGCATCATCATGGACCATGTCTTGAGTTCACCGAGACTCTGGTGGAGATTTACAGGAGATTGAAAGAAAAAGGAGAGAAGTTTGAAATTGTACTGATTTCTTTAGATAGAGAAGAAGAGTCCTTCAATGAAGGCTTCCAGTCTATGCCGTGGTTGGCATTGCCGTTTAATGATAAAAAATGTGAAAAAGTTGCTCGTTATTTCGAGCTTAAGGCCATACCTTCCCTCGTCGTGATTGGGGCGGATGGAAGAACTTTGAACCCCAATATTGTCGAGGTTGTTGAAGAACACGGTATTGATGCCTACCCATTTACACCTGAAAAACTTGTTGAACTTGCAGAGATTGAGAAGGCAAAGCTCGAGTCCCAGACTCTAGAGTCACTTCTAGTTTTGGGGGACAGAAATTTTGTGATCGACAGAAGTGGTATGAAGGTACTATTTGTTTTCATTTTATGACCTGTGAAAGTTTTGTTCAACTAAGGTCCTGTACAGTATGAGTTAACAAAATATTTGATTTTTTGTTGTGTTTTGGGTAGATCCCTGTACTTGAAATTGTTGGAAAGTATGTTCTGCTATATTTCTCAGCACATTGGTGCCCTCCATGCCGTGCATTCATGCCCAAGCTTGTAGAGGCATATCATGAAATCAAGCAAAAGGAGAAAGAGTTTGAAATCATCTTCATTTCGAGTGATAGAGACGAATCGTCGTTTGAGGAGTTCTTTTGTGGAATGCCTTGGTTGGCGCTGCCGTTTGGGGATCAAAGGAAGAAATTGCTCACTCGCAGGTTCAAAATCGGAAGCATTCCGAGCGTTGTAGCTATTGACCAAAGCGGGCAGACGGTTACGACAGAGGGACGGAAGCTGATAACAACATATGGAGCAAATGCCTATCCTTTCAAAGAGGAGCACCTGAAACATTTGGAGAAGGAACAGAAGGAAAAGGAGGGATGGGTTTGTGAAGGAGATGTTTGCCGTAAAGCTTGAGAGAATGTCGAGTAGTTGAAGAGTTGTCCATCCAAGCACCAGTACCCGCTCCTGCTCTTTGTTTGTCTTGACTCTTGTGATGGAAACGGAATATTGTGGACGACAGCAACTCTGTGCTAGCCTAAACCGTATGCTTAATGAATAAGAAATGCTACTTAACTTTCGTGTACACTAATTCATGTTATATTCCATTAGCCACAGTTAATAAGTGATATTGGTATGAGATTAGTTTCATGTTAAGTCACTTTATTCTATTTGTTCTTTCTTTGGATGCGGGGAGGAAATTAACGAGATTACAAAAGGAGAGTGATTCTCAATTTGAGATATGTACCATATCATTATCCAATTTAAAGAATGGAGATTCTCATTCGTATTTTTTTTAAAGTTAGTTTGATTAGATGCTTCTTTTTCAACCATATAAGTATATATTATTTTTTTTTCCGTATTTTGATTTGACTATACCTATCTTTAATCTATAAATTCATTATTTTTATTACTTTTACTTCCAATAAAAAATTTATCAATAGCACATTTTTTAAGATTCAATCCGATTTTCCATTCTTATTTTCTTATTAAGCCTCTCATATATGGATTCATATTTTCTTATAGACATATTAATATCTTATATGGGTAAAATTAAGTCAACAATGTGAAACAAATTTTAAAAAACGTAAAAGAAATTAAATGAAAAACCTAGAACTTTGATTTGAGCAAATAGTAAGCCTGAAGCTTTAATTTTTACTCTAGCAATTGGAAATTAGTATAATCCATCCAATATATTTATAGGTAGTTTTTAAAGATAATTTGAAAAATTTTAATTGTGAAAAAAAAAGAGAGAGAAATAATATATTGGGTGTCCAAGATAATGAAATTAGAAAAACGTTTTAATTTTTTTTTTGATTGAAGAAAAAGGTTTTAATTGTAAATAAAGAAATTGAAAAGGCAGCTGATTAAAATTAAGAGAAACTTTAATTAGTTATGAGTTTTTAAAAATATTTGCATTTAATTGAATGTTTTTTTCAAAGAGAATTATATAATATATAGTAATTCGTATTTTCAATATTATAAGAAATTTTTTTGTGGAAAACATAATGTTTTATGTCATCCTTTTTCACTTTCTGCTCTTCCTCTCGGTAGGATTTTCATTTCCCTCAGCAGCCACAATAAAACTATATTGTTGGATCCAATCGGCCATCACTTGCATTCTGTTCCTCCGTCTAGGTCTCACTACACTTTTGATGAGTGGCTTTGGTGTCGCGCTAAAACCGTAAGCTCGCCCGAAATTCAGTCTTACGGCTGTCGCCAGAACTATAGTCCCAGTGAACTCCCCTCATTGCACGTCCTTGTATAATTTCATGGTTGAAGGTATTGATAATCCATTTTTTAATTTTATGATTCGTTGGTTTGGATAGTTTAATTTGAATACAAGGTTTTATTTGTTTGTTTTCCTATGCTTTCTATACTAGGCTTCTGTTTGATCCACAAGTTTTCATAAATTGACGAATGTATCTTTTGACGTTTTTCAGGATATTGAAAAATTGATTTTCCACACGATTGGATAAAATGGGAGAACCAATAATTTTTGATAGAATGATCAGTCATCTTACGTGCAAGTATGTGATGTTATTACTATCAAATAGCAAATAAGTTCAACATTCCTTATATACCAAATAGTAAATAAGTTCAACCTTGAATGTTAAAAACTTAAAAACATACCAAATAACAAATAAGTTCAACATTCTTTCTAGTGGATTGGATAAAAACAAGATTAAAGATTCCAAAATAAGCATCAAGAGACATTTAAAACAAAGAAATTGCTTCTTTTCTTCGACTATAAACTTCAGTATTCTAGAAACCAATATTAAAAACCTTTCACCTCCTTCCCCTTCAACGCGGGCGAAACCCAACAATAAATTTCGTTTTAAATTTTATAATCCCAATTACAGCCAACCTAATTATTCTTCTTCCGTCGATTCTTCTTATTCTTCTTTCTTCTTCTTCTTCCGTCCCTTTCT